ACAGTTTTTAAAGCAGTGCCTCAGTCTAACAAGAATGAAGATTGAAACCCCAGTGAAGTTCTTAAAATTGTCTGAGGTGCTCTGCAGGAAAAGGAGTCCAGTTTAGATGCAAAACTATCTACAAATCCACCAACATTTACAGTCATCAACAGCTTCAACTCAGTGAAACCCTAATCATGTGCAAGGGGTCTAAATTTCTGTCTGCATTGTGCTGCTTTCTAGATGTGCCACAGCACTTACAATGTCACTGGAAATCCAATTAGGTACCTTTATGCAGACAATCCAACATTCAGGATCAAACACAGCACAATACAGGCCCAGCAGTCAGAGCCTAGCAGAACTGGGATCAGTAAACCACACTGTTCACAGCCTGACTCATCAGTCACTTCACCTCCCCAGGTGTATCAAGGCAGAAACCCACTGTATTGCTAACCTTCAGCCTTGCTCTCTAGTCCTCTGCTGGCAAATCAAACAACACAGAGTAATTTCCCAAATCCACAGGGAAAATGCACTTAGCTTGCTAACATGTTCCAGGTCTCATCTCTGCCAGCTTGCACCAGGCAGGGCAAGGCAGCCCTGGATGGTTGTTGTGCCTGTAAGCACAAGTGATGCACAGCAGTTCTGCCTGCCTGCCACACAGGTGTGCCCATGGAACAGAGATGTTCTGCACTGTCAGCATGATATTCCTGCCAGGTCAGTTCACCTTCAGGGTTATCACATCACGCTGGTATCATGAAGCTCCTGTATGCGAAACTAGAGAGAAGTAAGGCTTGTCCACAGGCAGGTTTCTACCAATGGTCCCACAGTGACTCTCTCCTGACAGAGACAGGTGAAAAGTTTGATCCACAGCAGAGATACACCAGCACACACAAGCTACATGAAGCATACTAAGAAGAATTGAGAAGCACAAGCCTGTGGGTTTGAAGACATGGGTTACAGCTGTCTTCCCACAAGGAGAAACAGCCAATTAATTACCACACCTCCACACCTAAACTATTCCAAGCAAGAGGAGACAGACTCTGCTTCCAAGCCTGAACAGGCAAGGAAAAGAGCTATGTGATGAATATGGAGGGAAAAGAACCAGCCACACTGACCTGTGGACTGGTGCATTCATGTTGAGAGCTCCCTTCTGATGATGGTCTGAGTGACAGGAGGAAAAACACAAAAGCACCCTTTGGGAAAATGGGAATGTGCACAGAGAGCTGCAGGAAGACAGTATTAAGCTGTATTGTTTCACTTTGGTCTTCACTGATTCTTCAGGTGGTCTGAAGTTGACAACCTTTTCCTCCTTTTCCCCCAGCTCTCTCTGTGCAGCCACATAGGTGACTCATTCAAATGGTTTGCAGTTTACAGGAAACACTGTCTGCTCCCTGCTCAGCACATGGCTGTTCAGTGCCCTTTTCTAGGCTCCATTTCCCTTCGAGAGATAGCTTTTTCCATCAGCTTTGCCAAGAGTGGTGGTTCCAAGATGCAGACCTGCAGCACGTGCTGGAATTCTCACAGATTACCTCCTGCACATCAGAATGTGGCTGTGAAAGGCACAAAGTAAGTTTAGTACATTGGTTCCTTAATACAAGCTGCATTCTAACTTCCTCACAGTCTTGGAGACAGCATTACTGCACACTGCTTAATAGCAGTCAGACTGCACCCCAGACACAGCTGCATCTCAGTGACTAGTTTTAAAACTCCCGTTTTAGCAAATCAGTGTTTTAGGAGGGAAAAATCCTAACACCATCACATGGTATTACTAATTTCTCAGATGAATCAGCAACTGCCATCCAGGCTGGCTTCAGACTAGCAGTAGAAAAGATTGCTTCCATCTTACAGAAACTGGATATGATTTAGTAAAACCACATCTGATGTTGTGACTATAAAGAGGCTGTATTTTCATCAGCCGTTCCCAAGTGAAATCAAACTTGCTGGAAACAGAGTGGTGAAATAATCAGACTAGCAGAGAAAAGAGAGGATAGAAACAGCTAGCTCTCAAACCTTGATAATGCAAAGGAACAGTACAGATGCCACAATAGTGGAAAAACAGGGATAGCAGGACCAGGAGATGCAACACTGCCAACAGCATGTGCCTAGCACATGCACTCACCTGCAGCCAGGCACCTCTGATGAGCAGGACAGACAGCTGTTAAATGAAGTATGGCAAGAAGCTGAGATTAAGTGAAGCAGTAAACTGAGATTTTCTTTTTTTCCTCCTTTTTAATTGATCACAAAAAGCAACAAAACCACAGGCATCCATCTGTAAGAGTTCACACAAATGCTTCAGGTGTCCCTTACATGTGACACTTGAGATGTCTTAAACCATCACATCCAGTTAACACCACTTCCAGCACAACAACCACAGACTCTTCTCAACAATTTCCCCAAGAAAGGACCTTCTGCTGTAGCCACAGCCCCCTTCACCCAAGATCTCATTCAACTTACCCAAAACTCCATAAGCATTCCCAGAACTGATAGAGGGAGAGATGGAATCTCAGACTATTTTGCCTCCCTTCTACCTTGCTTTAGCTTCAATATAAAGGATCCTAAAATGGTAATGAAGGAGAACAGAGGCTGGACCGCATTATGGTACCAAGAACTGTAACAAGGACATCAGTAAAGATATGCTACAAATGCAGGACAAAACAAAGCCCAATGCCTTGCTAATCTGAAGTATCCATCATGCTCCTAAAGTCACTATATTTTACAAGATAGTCTTTTTCTTGCTTGACACTGGTATTTTTAACATGTGCTAGAAGCAGTTATATGTGATGACACAATAACAGGGAACCAAATCAAACCAAATCAACACTGTTTTGGAAAGCAGTAGCACCAACAAAACTTTCAAGGGCAAAATATGGAGTATGAAGCAAGTAAATACAGTACAATCTGATTCGCAGAGGATTTTAAGGAGAGCTCTGACCAAAGCACAGAGCTGTTTATCTGCTTGATCCTTTCATTATCAACTTCCATATTTTTCCTCTGTTGACCAAAACTAAAGATACCTGTTTTCTTTCCTTGGCCTCTTTAAAGTAATACAACATATCCTTTACACCCATCCACCCTGCAAGGAGAGAGACAGTCCATTCCTTTTTCCTTCCCATAGAAGACTGGGCCAAAGTGCTGCATATTCATAACCGCATTAAGAACACTGCCCGAGGCCTGTGTTTCTTGGTATGCTGTAATGAGTTCAGGACCCCAGCTGTCTGCCTGGGGATTTAGAACACTGATATTTAATGGTAAATTATAAGGCAGAATATTTCATTTTACTTTCTTTTGCTGAAGCAGCATATTTATAATGGCACCCTCCATAGTCACGAAATAAAGACATAAAGACATCTTTCAGTTTGGACAACAAGGTCTCCAGGTCACCATGGTCTGGCTCAAGCCAGTTTAGTTTTTGGATGCCAGTCTCCGCTCTTAACCCATTATTTGATCTCCCTGATGTCACATCCCTCACTAGCACCCAGTAATACACTGGAGGCAAACTGCAGCATATTCCTAGCATGTTTATAGAAGCCAACTTAGAGCCTACTATACTAACAGCCTTAACAAGCCCTACACAAAGCAGAGCAGCTAATAAAACCACAATGTTCTGCAGTTAATCCTTGGAAGCTTGCCACCAAGATCCCACCATTTCAGAGGTAGTGGCTTCTGCAAGCTCAAACCCCACTTCTGTCTGAAGAAAAGGCCTAGATACACGTTCTGACAAGACACCTCACAGTTTTACATTTCCTCTGGGTTCCCTGACAATCTACAAACCATGTACAGCATCAGATCTGGGCTAGGAAATATTTTAGAGAACATCAGCATTCTGGAAGGAACAGCAGAGCAATTAGTATTTCTCTAAGTAGTGCCAGATGTTAGCCACAAAGATAAACAGAAGGGAAAAAGCACAGTTTGAATTAAAACTACCAAGAGCATAAGCAATCCCCTGCAATAGCTGCAGGCTGATAGTCCAAGCTCCTGCTAATTCTTTCTTCTTATCAAATCTTTCATATCTGCTTTCCTACTTGCAGTTACTCAAGCATGCATCTCCTCAGACTTACTGTGCTGGGGTAAAATACATTAAAGGCAAAGAGAAATTAGTCCAGCTTTATTCCTGAAAAGGTCCAAGAAACTCCAGTGTCTCAATTACCAGGAAACCATGAACCACCACCTTCTTCTGTACTCCCTTACCTCACTGCAATGGAAAAGGAATTGTGTATCTCATGACAACTGCCTCAGCGCCACAGGAACCACAGCCCTGCCCTTGAATGTGCTGCTCTGCCTTCTTTTTTGCATGGAATTGTGGCTAGTTTGAGTTGTTCGTGGTCTGACAGAGAAACACATACACAGCTGAGCAACACCAGAATAGGCTATAGTTCTTTTAACCCCCTATGTGGGGAGAAAAAAAGAAGAAAAACAAGAGAGGAAGAAGCTTTCCCTGCAACATCTTTTGATTCAACAAATCTTGTCTCCACTCTGTTATTAGCATTAAGAATAGCTTAAAAAATTTTCCAACTACAAAGCTCTGATCCTGACTCTTACCTGCTAGAAGAAAACATATTCACTCCTTCACCAGCAGCAAGACACAACCAGTATATAATGCTCTGACTGAACTTCTGCTTCAGTTCTCCCATTTCACCTACATCTTGACATGCATTGCAACGCTTTGAATTCTGGAGTAGAACAGAAAATAAATGTCCTTCTGCTCAGGATATGGTTTCTGTTAGCTTTACTCCCTACTCCAGCCTTTAGGATAACTCAAGTTAGGATCTAGAATACCCAGCTTCAGAGGGCAGAGGATTGATACTACACACTCCCTCAGCACATCTAGCCCAAATGTGAAGCCATTACAATATGGTCCCTGCAAACATGACTTCAGCAGGATTAAGTGGAGGCCAGTTTATATTAGGTGACTGCATCTTAACTTCAGAGACCATACTATCTGTTTTAGCCTTTAAAGGCTCCCCTCTGCACAACCAGTCCAGGGATTAACAGCTGCTTGGAAGGAGGACGGAAAAACTGTGTTTAAGAAAGCACTGCTTGCTTTTTATTTATTTTCAAGACATCAGTATTACAGTTTTTGAACCGAGTAACAGGGCCAGTTCAGGGATTGTCCACCAGCAATGCCGGCAAAGAGGCCAGAGATAACAGAACAGTGCCTCTGAATAAAGCCAACATTTTCCTTTGTGCAATAAATATGACCAGTAATGACTTTCCATCTCCTGCCTGAAGCCAGCACATCCTCCTCCGGAGAGGAAGAAGTGGAGTTCTCAGGTTTCTCACCCATTTCAGCACAGATTTATTCCCCATTATGAAAAGCAACCACAGAAAAGCTTACACCAAATTACACTAGATTCCCCACAGCTCACACCAAAAAGAAGTACTTCAGCAAGCATGTGCCTACTGGCACATCAGAGCCCATAATCACATGCCTCAAGGCTGTTCTTCAAATAAAGCTGCAGGTAATCTTTATATATCTGTGGGTCAGTCATTGTAGCCTTGACAGCAGGGTCCTCCTTCATGGCCTCCATCCAGCGTTGGAGCTTTGGGGTGTGACTCAAAGAGCTACAGGAAAAGGAAAGAGACTGAATAACGTAAATGGCAGACTTGGAGGGCATGAAGGAAGCAAAATGACTTGAACAGTTCCATTTTACTGTTTGTTTTGCTTTTTCCTTCCCAGTATAAATGTTCAGCTCAGAGCTGGTGACAGAAACATGCATCAGAGCATAGAAGACAGACTAGGATTTGGAAAGAGTTCTTGCAGAGCTTATACACTCTGCTAAGCTGAGCAAAAACACAAATAAGCACTTACTGTGCAAGATATCAGCATGTTTTTACTTTCATTATCTCTGCTGCAAAAGACACAGCTCTCATTTATCATCTGCTCCAAGCTGAGGGCAGAGGCTTGTGCACCACTGCCTCCCTCTGGAATGCTTTGTTAATGGTGATTCTTGAAGCAAATGCTTCGTGCAGTGCTTGAGTCCTCAACAGTTCACAAACCTCTTCTCTCCTCTCTCTTGGATACCAAGGCAAGCTGTGCAGTTTGTACTACCTGGCAACCCAGCAGCTCAAAATACAGACACAGTTTATTGAGGAAACTGAAGATTCAACTAAGACTAAATCCATGAACCCACTCATACGCAGTTGAAAACAAACAAAAACCCCAAACACTGTGTGGCAAATCAAAAGCTTAAGAAAAAAATGTTATTTTCAGTCTCTTCTGTCAGACTGAGCCAAGTACTGTGCATTACAATTAACTCCCGAGTTTAGTTAATGCATAACTTCCACTAATCCTTACCCAGAAAGTATCTTTTCTTAACACAGAATAGCTCAGATCCCCAGTCATTCAAATACCTTAATGACTCCAGACCTATGCTCCTATACTGCTTGTAGTATTTCCCATTCCAATCAAGGACCACACAGGAGGCAATGTGGGTCAGCAACCCATCAGTAAAGCCCTCATTTTACAGTGCCTGAGGTTTCAATGCTAAGGATTCCTGCGTCTTGTTCTTCAAGAATTGTTCAGGCACTAGGGTGAGACTAACTGTTCTATGCTCACTCACTTCCTCATACAAACTGACTCTTTAGCCCTGTTTTAAGGCAGCTATAAAGTAGTTTTCCTCTGCTACCATTTCCTTACATAATAATGCAATGCCATGGTAACTGGAGCTGTCTAAGGATGTAACAGACCAAGATGTTTACTTACATGTAAAAATCCCCCACTATTACAACAGAGACAGATCTATTATTTACAGCTAGGTAGGATACAGTTCATCCATCTCAAAATAAAAATCACTCTCCTTTATCAAGCTAATTTTTCTAAAGAGGCACAGAGAACTGCATTTCAAGTCTGAGGCTTCTGGTCAAGAAATCTGAGCCTAGGCCTTCATTCCTCCATCCCCTTCAGATAAAGATCATTTTCATCTATGATGTTAGAGATGGAGAGAAAGTCTTGTATTTTGACCACTTTTTCTGGATCTGGCAAAATTATTTTGCAGGAAAATAGATATTTTGTAGGATTTTCTTTTTTTTGGTGAAATCACACTTGTTTAGAAAAGATCCCTGAACAGCTCCTTTCTCTTTCGAGAAGGCGCTTCCCCCAAACTGCAACACAACACTGACTATCTTCAGCAGCCTCCAAGAGTGGCTCATTGCTGCAGAGTGCATGCAAAGCTTATGCTGAGGCACTTCAATACACACTACAAGCTAGGCAAGGTACTCACTCCTTCAGCTGGAATGGCTCCAGACGTTCAAACCATGGCCAGATCATGTAGTCAAGCATGGAGATTGAGTCCCCTCCATAAAACACAGTGTTGCGCTTGGACAGAATCTGTGAGGGGCAAGAGATGACAAGTACACCCTCAGAAGGAAAATTACCACAACAGGACACTACAGTAGCAAAAAGTCCACTTCATAGTAGAATGCAGGCATACTAAAGTGACCAGACAGCAAATAACGGAGATATAGCACATTTACCCTATGCATGCAGTATCTGGGGAGTCAGAGCTACTCTATAGCTACTACAGTATCAAGATTAACTATTTCATACACTGTCAGTCCACCTCTTTTCCAGAGGTTCAAAAATGCAATCACTAGTGAGCTGCAGCTTGTGCACTAAAGAAATTTAGCTCTCAGAATCCTTCAGTTTGAGTGGAGAAGCAGAATGCACAGGACTGTCGGGAGAGATGGGAAAGTATTAAGAAGCTATTGGTAGCTCTGCACCTGAAGAAAAACACTCTGGAGGAACACTTCCTCACCAAGTCAGAGAAGCATTAGTTGTGACTGCTAAAGATGCAGAAGGAATGGGTTCATGATACAGGCAAATCTGACTTGTTCAGACTAGCCAGGAATCACTAATGCCACAGATTATGAAGTCCTAATACAGCATAAAAGCCACCTGACACTTCCTGGAGCTCTGCTGAAGTTGCATTACACCACCAGTAGTGCAACATGGCCCAGGCTTGGATTTGTGCAAGGGACAGATGACATTCTGCTGTGCCCCATGCCCAACAAAGATAAGCTCTTGAACAAAAGAGATTTTGTGTCATTGCGGGGGTATGTGCAGTGATTTCAGCAAAGCTCCAGCACAGATGCTCTTCAGCAGCTCAGATACCTATTAGAACATGTGGCAAGGTCTCCTTACTTTTAATGCAAAGCAAAGATATCCAAGATAACAGCAGCAGCCAGAATTCAAAAGAATCCACAAGTCTACAGAGTCATCATCATAGAAGAAGTTTAGTTTAGCTGTGTGGAGTTTTCTCTAACAATGCTGTTGGGCATCCTAGGCTGGGGAGTGTAAATTGAAAGATTATTCATTCCTGTAACTACTGAGAAGAGATCTAGCTCCAAAGGCCACACTACAAAAGAAAAATGGGATCATACAATGACTGGCAACCTGCTCATTGATCATGAAAAACTCTTACCTCTTCAAATTTGCCAAACTTTTCAGCAATCTCTGCTTTCAGTGCTGTGGTGTCCTGTCCATCTTTGACTGCCACAAAATACTTGAAAACCAATGGTGTTATCTATACAAAGGAAAGTATAAAGTTTTTAATGTTCCTATTTACAATAATGCAAGCAAGTCACTCAGACCTTAAAATGTTAAATGTTAAGATATTAGATTCAAGTTAAAGATTTAAAGAGTTAAATAAAGTCCATTAATAAAACCTGTCATACTTCAGAAAAGATAAGTAGAGTCTTAAAGGAAGAATAAGTGCAAATACTAATGAATTTTGTAATAAGAGAACAATGAAAAGAATGGCATGTTTCTCATTTGCATGCACTACTAAATAAGTAACCAAAAAGCTAGCAAAGTGCAGAGTTTCCCAATTACACATTCCTGAACTGCAAATGCACTTTCATTATCAACATTAAAGGTACTTTAAGAAACAGACATGCAGTCCAGGGTATGCAGGCTTCTACAGATCTGTGCATTTTCTGATTTGGCAATTGAGAAATTAGCATACAGTACTAGAAAGCTGTCCAGTGGCCAAGCTTCACTAAACTATATTCTTCAAAACTCAGAAAACCATTTTTCTAGGATCTTGTCATTCATACAACCAACATTCAGTGCATGTTTTCTTCCTTGCAATATGTTCCCCTGTGACCCTCTTCCCATCATGCCTATTCAGAAAGGCCTGTTGTAAAAACATCTTCCTTTCTAACCCTCTTCTTTGTCCACATCTCTTTGCATCTTCTGTTGCTTCCTCTCCTCCATTTCTGCCTCCAATCCAAACAGACTTAACTTCCTACACTCTTCAAAGCATATGCTTGCATAGAAGGTTACTTCCAGTCAGCTACAGTGCTCTCCTCCAACCCCCAGAGAGCCAAAACCTTATACATGTCCCGTGTCTCTCAAGCACTGAGCTGGTTTGGTCTACTAACTTTTGTTCTATTGTGGGATGCTCAAAATCCTGCCTCAGTCACGTACACTCTCACTAGGATGGCTGTCTTCATCCATCCCAAAACACAAATGCTAGGAGCAGTTCAGACACACAGTGGTTTGTACGTGCCCAAAGCAAGAGACCCCAAATAACTCCCCCCAGGCACAAGACCTGCCTTAAAAGATAACAGCAGCATTGGCAACAGAGCTGCAGGTTTTGGTGCTATGGTAAAGAAACACATTCCCACACTGATCCTACAGTACCTTTGAGAAATGTTCCAAGAGCATCTTCTGAAAGGCTCGCTCATATGGGTCAGAAGGCATCAACTTCTTCCCTGGAAATGCATCATCCAAATATTCACAAGTGATTGGGGACTCATAGATCAGCTGGCCTTTGCTGGTCTCCAGAACAGGAACCAGCCCAAAGGGGTTCTTCTCAAAGAACCAGTCAGGTTTGTTCTTCAGATTGATGTTGATTACTTCGTGGCTAAAAGAGCAAAACAAACAAGACCCAGGCTCAGTTCTGTTACAGTCCATACCCTGGTGAAATGCAGTCATTACACCTCAACAGCTACAGTACTTGAGCGGCTGAAACATAGAATCAACTAGGTTAAAAAGACCTTCAAGATCATCAAGCCCAACCATTCCACCAGGACTGCCAAGTCCACCACTAAACTCTTTCTGAAGTCCTTTGCAAAACTAACTGTTGCTGTAATTTAAGTTCAATTAGCTGAATACTTTTAACTCTCTTACTTTGTCTGAGTAGCTCTGCTTAGCACGATTAGCTAAAGTTGCTGAAAGCTGCAAGCTGTGACCTAGAAAAGTTGAACTCACTTTGAACTACTGCTTAGTTATGTGAAGGGAGGCCCGGAGACCAGTGCAAACAGTAAGATAAGGAAGCCACGACTGAAAGCAGAAGCTGCAACTTATCCAGCTAATGGTCCACCCAGCTCCAGAGAAAGAATCCAATTAGGAACAAGACCCCAGACCAAAAACCACCACTGGACCAAGAAATACATGAAAGATTAAGAACACATGAAAAACAAGTGCAGAGACTGCAAGGGTACAAAAGCCTAAGGGTTTCTTCGTCCTGGCCCTCTCCAGAGATACCCAGCTCAAGCTGTCCCTATTGCTGTACCACTCGATCATCAAATTATCTGTTTCCCTGGAATCAGACATCTGAGCCTCTGCTGTGGAAAACCTAAGGCAAAGAAATGTCTTTAACATCATTCAACATGTACAAATACTGCCGGGGGGGAGGGAGGGGCAATTCACTAGAAAATAACCAGCATTGACTTAGAATGAGTTGTTTAACAAACTAGTAAAAAACACATGAACAGCCTGAAAGCACACAACAGAGGCAGCTGTTGCAGTCACACTAAAAACAAAGCTCAAGCTCAGAATGCAGCACACTTTCACATGCACGTTAGGGGTATTCTGTGAAAGAAGCACAAGTAAACTCCACTCCAGTTAAGAACTGCACCTGATTTTTAATCTGACCTTACACCAAAGAGCACACCAGGAGAGCATCTTCCCCACCTATGGCCTCAGATAGAACAGGTGTTTAAGCTAATGCAAATACTGACAAGGTCTGCCAAACACAACTTAACATGCAAAACAACTGAAAGGTTATCAGAAAGCAGCTACCCCATCCAGGTAGCCATAAAAGCCCTCCAAAATCACTATACCAAAACAATCTTCCCAGTTCCAAGATCAGTCCAAAGACACTAAATATAGGCAGAATTAAACTGACCTGGAAGTTTGAATGCACCCACTCTTTTGAAGAAAGACCCAAGAAAAAAAATAAACAAACAACCCAACTCTCATCTTGTTATCAGGATAACTGAATGGTAAGCATTCACTATGCTAACATGAACCCCAAGCTCTGTTAACAAACCTTTGGCAGGCCTGGGATTTGGCGAGAATCAATTTGGTGGAAAAACACATTACTTTGAAACTGTAAACTGAGAGAAGCACTAGACCCCACTCAAAAACACTGAAAGGACATGGCTATCCTGAGATAGAAACAAGCTCAAGCACTCAACTCCATAAACTTACTGCAGCACAGAAGTGGAGATGTTACGGTAACATGGTACATCTTTTAAAGAGGCCATTGCTTTTGAATCTCCCAGAATTTTCATTGCAGCTTGCATCAAACCCAAACAACATACCTTAAGGCTCTATTCATGTTTACCCACGACAAGCTCAAATATTATTACTGCAAACATTCAGGATGACATATGAAGAAAAAAAGAATCAGCTTGGGGGTTGTCCCTACCTATGTACATTGGGCCTTTACATCACTGTTTTCATAGCAGCCTTCTTATTTCCCACTTCAGCAAGACACTGCTCCCCAAAACAAATCTTAAGTTCCAGCTTTAAGGCAAAATCACCCACAGAAACCCCTTTCTCGTTCATTGCTTTCAGGGATGTTTAGTCAAGAGCCATTCAGGATGCCCACGCAAGAGGAGAAGCTCGGACCGCCCCATGCGAGCCCCGACAGCCCGCAGGGGCCAGCGGTACCGGGGTGCGGGCAGGACGGAAGCGGAGGAAGAGAGCAGCCGCGCACCAAGCCTCAAGGGCCCGCCGGGAAGGCCTCACCTGATGCCCTTGGCGCGGAGAACGAGTCTCGTCCTCTGGGCGAAGGGGCAGAACCGCATGCTGTATAGCCGGATCACCCCCTCGGGCACCGGCCCCGGCGCCTCGCTCCCTGAGGAGACAAGAAGAGACCCGTTACAGCCATTACCCGCCCCGCGCCCCCTCCGCCGACCAGGCCCAGCTGAGGTGATACGGCAGCCAGCTGCCCGCCGGGGCGGCCGCTTACCCTTGCCCAGGCTGCGAGAGTGGTCCCCGGCCATGGCGATGCAATGTGTTGTGTTGCGTTGCCTTGCGCTGTTGTGTTGTGCCTTTCCTCACTACCCCGTCCCCGCCTGCGGGAGGCGGGAACCACCGCTCCTCTGTGAGGCTTGGGCGGGCCGGGGCCGGCTTTCAACCCCTCAGGAGTGATGAGCGCCCTGGCTCAGGCGCTGACTCCCATAGCGAGCAGAAAGCTTATGCTTCGGGGAGATAAGGGAGCGCCCCGGTAACCCCTCCCTGAGCTGACCGTCCTCCCCAGCGGGGATGCTGGGCTGCTTGCTGAAACAGGCACTATTAAGCTGCACTTAATATTCTCTTTATAACCTCAGCACAACCCACACCAGCTGGCACTGCCATTTAAATGAGAAACCGATGACAAAGTTCCACCCCATATACCTGTTGTTGTGAAGTGGTGCCTCCAGCAGACGGTGGAGCACCAGGCCTCCTTCTGCTTCTCTCCCTAGAAAGGGTCCTCTCCTGCTACAGCACCACTCCATCACCTATTGCCATCAAAACCCTATCCCACCTTGAAGATAACAAGGGCGGGGTTCTCTCTCATGAAGCTATTCTGCTTCATGAGGAAAACCCTAGAGGAGACAACAGATAACCTAACAGATAAGGGGCTTCAAGCAAAAGCTACATTCCATTTAATTACTACTTAGAGGAATTCATGCTTGTTTCTGCAAACATATCCCATGGGAGCATCAGTATGTGCGCCCAGCAAAAGAGGGAACAAAACCATGGACTGAAGTCCTCTCCAACCCTTTTGCTCCCTCTTCATTTGAGGCAAAGGCACCAGGGCTTTACGTGTACTAGCTTTTGTGAGATATAGTAGTGGAAATGGAGGAGCTTACCTTTTAATGCATTTCACGCAGCATCCAAGTTGATCTGTGGTCCTAGAAATAAAATGCTTCTCTATGTGAGGGTCCATGCACTTCCACCCAACCTTCAGGTCAGAGCTGTATGTTATTGAGAAGCAGCACTTTAGGCACCAGAGGGCTGGGGCAGTCCTTGCCAAAGGGAGGAAAAGTCCTGGCCTCCCTGGCGATGGTCACATCTCTGTCAAATCCCCAAGGCTAACAGAGGAACCAGAGCTTCTCCAGCCTCATCAGTGGATCCATGCTTGCACAGTGGGGAAGTTTTGCCTTTTGGTAACTTTTGGTTTTGTTTTGTAACTGGATATGGGCCTCCAGGCATCATGTTGCAATGGCCATTATTTTCTGCAGTAATCTCTCCTGCAGAGCAAACACTGAGGTAGCCACTGGTAAAGTAACCACACACCTGACACCACTATCCATTAGAATGGAAGAACTGCGTGATTCCTTGATAAGTCGTTGTGGTTTGATTAGGTAATTAATTGATTATGTAACAAGCAGCTGTGAAGGGAACAGTGATTTGTTGCACAAGCCTGCCATGCCCTAAGCAAACAGAACATGTATGTGTCCCATGCCAAGAAAATAATTCCTCCTGACACTAAAACAAAATAGCTGTTAGAGGACATATTTCTCATTCCTCTGAGTGCCTGCCCCTAGGAGAGATTCAGCAACATTCTGGGTCATGAGAAAAAGAGAAAATTAATTTGAGATTGCCTTTAGCAATTAAGAACACAGTCTGGTAACTCACAGCCCAGAAGGAGACATGTAGGAACCCAAAGCAGCATCACAAGATCTGTGTGATGCAATAGCCCCTCAAGGGCACCATGCTAAAACAGACCCATTTCTTCATTTTACTTTGGTTTTGCATGGCACACAGAGCATGTGCGGAGACAAGAGGCAAGGTACAGGCTTGCCCTGCTGCCTCCGGACAGGAGTACCTCTTTCTGTTGTTGCTCTATAGCACTGTGAGTGTGTAGCAGCATCACAAATCTGCACGCTGCTGCTGTACAGATAAGTGATAACAAACTAACACAAGCAAAACACTATAAATAATGCTTCTCCCTTTAGGAAAGGGAAAAGGGAGATAATATTGCTTTTAAATATTTTGAGATTTGTACGGTGTTGCCATGCTAAAAGCCATAAGTATATCGGCAAAGACTGCAGCTTTACTTCATTGGGCTTGAGAATTCTGCTCTAGTGGGAGATATCCCTGCCCATGGCAGAGGGGCTGGAACTATACGATCTTTAAGGCTTCTTCCAACCCAACCCATTCTGTGATGCCTTCCAGTGATTAGTTTCTCCATTCTCTTCGAAGCTTCAGGAACACTGTATTACACATCCCAAGAACTGCAGCACCTCATGACAGGAAAACCATGGAAGCAACAGGAGGGCAGCCACAGCTGCCTCACTGAGAGGTCATATGCCATTGGAATAGGAGGAGCAGCAGCAGCTGCAGAAGGACCAGTGTGATGTCCAAGGGAATGAACCCCGCAGCTGACTCACTCCTTCGTCTGATAAAGCAGCTGATTACCCACAAATATCAGCGTCCCACCTCACCACTATGTATTCGGGCTTCTGTCCGGATCCAGAGCCCCACTCACTCCTTCCTCTAGGGCTGCTGGCCCTTTAAATGCCCGCAAGTGCTCATTGGCGAGTGGCGCAGGGCCACGGGCCAATCAGCGGCCTGCTCGGAGGCTGGCGGGAGGCGCCCTGGTTCCTAAGAGACGGGTGTTAGAAAGCCGCTGGCGCTGATGGAGGCGGCCGCTGAGGAGCCGTGCGCCGGGGCCCGCCGCTGCAGTTCGGCCGAGGAGGCCGCGCTGGAAGTGAGGTGGGGCCTGCCGGGACAGCCCGCGCCCTTCGGCACATGCATATCCACACCACATCCACACGTGCACACCCGCACCACACAACCCCGATCCCTCAGCCCCGGCGGGGTGTCCTGTGCTCCTGGGCCTATGCGCCTCTCATCCCGGGTCAGCTCTATGCAGAGAATAGGGAAAGGAGGCTGCTGTGCTGTGGGCCGTGTTAGGGCGGCAGGTAGGGAAAGAAGCATTTGCACCGCAGCATGTAGTGGCAACTGAGCCTGGGATGGGTTTAGGTGAAACTTACTTTCACTGCCCTTAGCATAGGAATAAGCAACCCTGACTGCTTTTAAGCTGGAGCTTGACGAGTTGACAAGAAGTGTGGTGTAAGTTGTTGTATTTTCTGTAGTGGTTCTGGCAACACACAGCATGTCCTCTTGGGGCATGATTTTCTTAGTACCTGGCCTTGTGAACCTGTACAGTTCTGTTCTGTTCATGGCCACATCTCTCTTCTGTTTTACCTTGACTGCTTCAACTTCTAGAATTTCCCTGGCTGTTCTGTACCTCCTAAATCCCACTGTCATGATCTTCTGCCATGGCTCTTAGTATTCTAAGACCTGCCTTTCTCAGCAACTTAATCTGTGTGTCAGAGACTTTCAGATTTTGATTTCCCACAAATATAACCCACACTCTATATAGAATAACATTTCTCTTCCAGAGCTCTTGGTAGTCCAACAACTTGCTTTTTGGTTCTGAACAAATAGGCACTGTAGATAAATGATCCTTCCTACCCCACCTTCGTTGAGCCTTTCACAACAATCTAGGATGTTTGCACATACTTTCTATGTAATGGGACAGATGTTTAAGTTTCCTTGCCCACTGTAAGTATTTCAGCCATTTCATCAATGCTTGTGGCTACATACATCCATAATTATAGGTAAAGCAGCTTCAGCCTTAACTATTCTGATACTTGCAGAGTGAAAAAGATACCATCTGAAGCACATCACTGCTATTCAGAGGAAGTTCTTGTGCAAACTGGTGTTACTTGCAAGAGCTGTGGCCAAGGTTTTCTGCTTTGTGAAAACACCATTGTGAAATAAAAATACGATCCAAAATAAAAAAGAATTTAAATCCTTTTGAATGTGAAGTAAAGTCTATTTCCATAAAATGGAAAAGTTTAAAGTTTGCTTTTCTTATCAATTAATGTAGCAGTAGCAGTATATGTATCAGAATGAAGTGACAAAATTTATTTTGCAGCAGGCAATTGGAATGCTGTAGTTTGTGTCTTCAGAAAAAAACTGAACTTTGACAAAACTCATGGAGCTAGCATTTTTCACTGGAAAAATGATCTGTAAGGAAACTCTAATTACTTTGCTCCATCTACATTTCACCAGCTGGCAAATTTTATGACTGAAATACTTCTGACACAATGTTTATATAGAACTGGAGACAGGCACAGCATGGGAAATGTGAGTGCGCCATGGCTGATTACTGCACTAGTCAGAGGTGACATCTTGTAACAGCCTGAATCCTTGTCCCCTTAAGCCTTTACTGGTTGTATCAGGATGATAAATTGCTCTGTCATCCCATTAATTTTTCTCTGCATACATGTTTTCTGGATTTCATTTTACCCCTGCAAACAAAAGTTAAAAATACTTAATTTCGGCTATTCAGATCTAATGTTAGAGAAAAGCATACAACTAGTCCTGTGAGCATGTTCATAAAGGTCTGCTTACATGCCATGGCACATCATACAGCTAATTCTTGTGTAAAAGGTCCGGAAAAACATTCATCAGCTGAAATGTCTCCTCTTTGTTGCCATGGTGTTCAGTTCATCTGCACAAGCACGTGGTCAGTGTGCTTCTACTTCCCTCTGGCTACATGTAGTCATCTGGTGTGTAGCGAAATAAGCCAAAAGCAGAAGCTATTCAAAAAAGATAATGAGAAGTTATTGCTGGACATAGACTCATAGAATCAAGTAGGTTGGAAAAGACCTTTAAAATCATCAAGTCCAACTGTTAACACCAGGACTGCCAAGTCCACTGCTAATTCATGTCTCTTGCTGTAAAATAGAAGAATCCCAATGTATAAATGATTGTAACGGGAGCCAGCTTTTGGGGAGCAAAAAACCACTGCCATCTCCACTGCACCCATGTATATTTCCTAAGAGAAGTCATTTTAAGGCGTTCTTAACTATGAGAGTGCTGGGGCTGCAGTACAATCTTCTAGTAAGAGTTCAGAGGATCAGCAGCTGAACTGATCTTATGACTGACTTATGATCATGAAAAGAGCATAAAAATGCTGCTTGCAATTGCAGAGGACAGAGATCTTTTCCAGTCAAACTGTCCTATTTGGAAGAAGAGATGGAA